GACCATGTGCGTGCTCGGCGAGCGTCTTAACCGATATGCCACCGACGCACTAATTTAGAAATTAGTAAGCAGTTATATACTCAAGGAAATGCTTTCATAGAGTAGAAAAGTGAAGCGAATTTTCTACAATGTTTCCTTTTTATACGTGTGAAAAATAAGTAAGAGTGGATATTTGACCTTTATTTGTGCACTACAAATTATCTTTGTTTTCGCGGGAGACCAGAAAAATATAACCTTTGTTTGCTTATCTGTTAACCTGGATTATTCTTCTAGTTCATCAGAATATGTGAGCATTTGTTGCCTTTTATCTTTATACTTCTATACCTTTATAATTTACATAATTATAGTCATCGAGTTCTCTTTAACATGTGTCATCTCACTTCATCATGATAATATTTAAAATATATCACTGACTAAATGACCAATTAAGAACTTGTTTTCAAATGCTTATCTGAATGTAGCTGATATTCCTTCGTCTCATTTGTTTGGTCTTTAACTTAAATATTCCCCACCCACCAGTAAATGAAAAGTTATGCTACCTAAGCCACTGTATATAAAGAAGTCAGGCTAGAAATTCAATAAATTTCCCGCCAATTCTCCGCTAAAACAATTCAATGCTTCGGTAATTTACTGACAGGGAATCGATGCACGTTTTATTTTTTACCGAAACCTCGTGTCTGAAATTACTTAACAAATCAATAACAAATAAAGTTCTCATAAGAAATAATAAGTTCTGAATAAAAATCTTTTTCCACTGTAGAAATTGTAACTTCACTGGTAACCCCTTTTCCTTATACTAAATTAAAGGATATGTAGACTTTATGGTAAATATTTAGTTTTTCAATCATCATCTTCAGAACTTACGACTGATCATCACTGATATACGATTTTACTAAAATCAGATCTTTGAACAATCAAAACACACCATCGTTATAGATTTTCGAAATGTTGAAATGACATAAAAACCATATGGAAAACTGAGACAATTTTCACAATTTCATTCTCTTGTAAAATAAAAAATATGACAGTGTTAATAATTATTATTCTACTTTTATTTCTGATATGCAAAATTTAGTCCTAAGTACCGCCTTGCCTGCATTTATTAGTCATTCCAAAATTATGTGAACTCTATGAGATTAAGTACATCTGTTCAACTGGAAAATCTCTATTTATTGAGTTTTAGAGGATATAATTGGAGTAGGGGTGGAATTTACCACAAATGAGAGTAAATAACAGAACAATTGAGGCTAAATTGTGAATCTTCAAAGGCTGTGAAACAGTCACCCAATGCTTCCTTGGTTTCAGTGATTTTCTAAGTGATTTCGGTTGTGGACGGAATCTATTGTTATAATTTCATCATAAGAAATTATTCTTCAGATACATTCAAAGTCATCGAATCGAACAAATACAGGGTTAACTGAAAATCAAAATAAAAGCAACTAGAAAAACAGTAATAATTCCATTATGGGTAGAATTTATTTCGATAAAGTCTCACAGTGTTATACAGTAATATTTACTGATGGCGTTTCGAGCACAATTTATTGCTCATAATCATATCAGTTCTTTTGTTGCGGAAATTCCATCATGGGCTTAAATCGGTTGGAGGGCCGTCGGAAAACCTAGCAGCACTGCAAAGATGTTTTGTCCTAGTTTGGGACTCTTCACTAGTACGCATCCACCGGGGTCAGTGAGTTAGGTCCAGGCGGCCTAATCGTCTGTGAGCTCACTTTGCAACTGGAAAGTCTTGGGTTTGAACCCTGGTGCGTGCGTACTGTTGAAGAGACGAAACAGCTGTCCAGTACTCCCTGGCTTTTCACTGGGTCTCTAGCCGATGTCGGATGATGAGGAAGATCCTGTAACCAGTCAGATCCCTGCAAAACAACACTCGAAAGTTTTTGCATTTTCATTTGTTTATAACCTGTGTACCGAAAGCTCAATAAAATTGATATCCAAAGTGAAACCATCCCTACAGCTGGCAAATCTGATAACTCACAGTACCTCATATCTTACTCGCGTATTCGTCGTAGCTATAATTTTGAGGCAAATTATGAAGAAGACAATATACTGAATAATTAAATATGATAAATATTGCCAAGACAATTAGAATGTAAGAAGTATCCTCTCGACACGCGTGAACTCCAAGTATCTATGACTGATGGTTTGGAAGCAATACCCCTGTAAATCATACGCCAAGAAAGAAGAGAGTTGTCAGCTGAGTGTTATTCCAAGGAGTGAACGAATTGCAAACCTGTTTCAATGCTTTTAATTAAACACATCAGTCAGATGTGCCTACAAATGTATTCACTGACAAACACAGTAGAATGTGACTTGGTTGATTACATGATTTCCAGGAGTTCACTGAGTTATGATTTTTCTTACTAATCAATAATAATTTAACTAACATAGTATAGTCCAAAGATAAAAGATCGTGATCTACGTTACATGATTACTTCAGATGAGCTTACTGAGGCATTGTTAAATTCTTAGTGACAAAAATAATAATATTGAGAAAATTGATATCTTAGATATAATGGAAAAGATTTGTAGCTCAGTTTTGAAGTATGCGCTGAACATATTGCCTAGTAGAACAATGAAAGCTTCACAAATAAACCATCCAGCTCAGAGAACACAATTACATTAAAATTGATATCTTACCAAGAAAATTTCACTAAATGTTTTATATGATACCACTAACCACTATATTTTACACTAAATTCATTTTTAAGTGTTGGTTTGTAGGGATTTGATTGGTTTCAGGATTTCATCATGAGCTGACATTAGTTAGAGAAACATTGGAAAACCTGGGAGTATTGGGCAGCTGTTTTATCCTAGTTTGGGACTCTTCAACAGTACACACCCACCGCCAGGGTTCGAACCAAGTACCTTCCTGTTACAAGGCGAGCTCGTATACCATTAAGCCACTGGGACCTGATCCAGTGGTCCTTGAATTCTAACTTCTGCCAATTCACGACATAGCGCGACCCCTAGCCAATGTCTTCGGCGAGTATTTGTCCTCACACCTCGCTATGTCGTGAATTGGCAGAAGTTAGAATTCAAGGACCATTGGATCGGGTCCCAGTGGCTTAATGGTATACGAGCTCGCCTTGTAACAGGAAGGTCCTTGGTTCGAACCCTGGCGGTGGGTGCGTACTGCTGAAGAGTCCCAAACTAGGACGAAACAGTTGTTCAGTACTCCCAGGTTTTCCAGTGGTTCTCTAACTGATGTCAGCTCATGATGAAATCCTGAAATTCATTTTTGTCGTGTTCACTGTGCTTTTTTATTGCACACTGTATCATGTGAGTAAACTCCCTACTATCATAACTGCTTTAGTTAACTTAATCTTCTAAAATGTGAAGGGACAGATAGGTACATCATTAAGTAGTCCAAACTGCATCACAAAAACCTTCCTAATGTAATTAGGAAGGTATATTCAAGTTTACTAAAGACCACCTTAGTAGAAAAAAAAGCAAAGCAAAGATCTTCATTGTACTTTATCCTTTGTGTAGGCTTGATTCACTATAGAGTGGTAGTTATTACACTACGACCTACACTTACAAAAACATGTCTTAAATTATGCATTATTCAGCATATAAATAAATGCATTGCATTTCTCGAATTCAATCCCAATTGTACTTCACAAATCAAAAAAGCTTATAATATTTAATAAAGCAGCTTGGTATTATTATTATTATTATATGTAATATAATGGATAAGAACAGTTACTGTCATAGCAAGCAGTTATGCTCAAGCTTATACTCATTACGACAATATTTTCTGTAGATGAAAGTCATTTTTCTTTTATTTATTGCAGTTTGCTTGTAAATGAACAACTGAGATTGCGCATGAGTTTTTTTTGCAACATGAGACAAAAAATGCGAAATGCAATTCTCTAATAAACAGACAAATAATACACACAGAGAGAGGGGTGAAAATCATGTGTACGTGATTAGATTTGCAAAAAAAATAAAAGTTATCAACCACTTTTAATATTTGGCAAATTGTTTGTTAATACGAATCTTGAAAAAAAAAGAAATGACTGAAGTTTTCTTATTCATACTTCATCATCTTAGTGATTATGGCACGTGTCGTGATATTAACTTAACTTTTGACTTACTTACTTATTATACTTTCACAAAAAAAACCAGCATGTCTCACGTCATTTCAAGGTGGGAGAATCTATCCTTCATTTTTAAAAAAAGAAGCATAATTCTAAACAGGTTTAGTATACAAGTCAGACACATTTGTACACCATGACTAACCACATATTTGTTTTATATTGATGTGGGTTACACTTTAATGAATTTGAATTATGTATGATATGACATATGAAAAATTTACTGGAATAGCCTATTGTGTAATAGTTCCATTTTAAGGCGTCATTCTCAATAATTCACTAGAGTATTTAGTAGACTTTACAAACAGACGAGAAGAAGAAGCTTAAAGCTTTGTATATGGCTAACTTGTTGGTATCAAATTTGAGGCATATAATCATGCAAGATGACTCGAGCTTTGGGTGTCAAATATTTAAATATGATAATCTGTTATTATTTTTTTCTTTTCCGCTTTTTGACTAATTGATCGTCACTTTCAGCACATTCTAACACCTACATTTCTCATAGTGGTAAGGTTAGAAATAGTACTATTTACTCTTCGTTATACCTAGTAAAATAGTTGCTAAACCTGGCTGAATAATTCTGTTATAAAGGTGCTCATTGTAGGACCAAGTATAACATGTAGTTGAATTACGATAACTAAATACTAGTGAACTCTTCCGACTTCTGCATCTTATAGACGGATAATTTACATGGGTGAGTCTATCATTTCACAAGCTGTCTAACAGATTTTCAGAATATGAATAGAAATTAATATCAGGTGTCTCATGTGTTCTTTTGGCACATATAATATTCTCAGTGGCTGGAAAATTGCGTTTCTCATATATATACATTGAAATTAACACCAAAACTCGATATTTTTTCATTGTTTTCTTTTTCAATTTTAGAGGTATATTCGGGTGTTGCTTAATACCATTTTGTGTCGATGCTTGCAAAGATGTTGATCATTACTGCCCAGTGTGTAATCACTATTTGGGTATATATCGCCGGTGCTAAAATGAAGGAGATGAACGCCTAAGTGTACGAAACAATTTTCTAAAAGAAAACCAAAAAGAGATTTTTTTAGATTGTGTTTTTCATGAATAAATGATAAAAATATTTTTCTTGACAATAATTTACAATGACTGTTTTTTTGTTGTTTTTTTTTAACTTTGAGAAAATACTTGGAATTTATTATTGAACTTTTAATTTAATATTTCTCACTGAAATTACTGAAAACAAAGAGCAATTTTTTTAAAAATTTAATTATAATGAAATTAAGACTAATGGAATATTTTTCTTTTCTGTGTAACAGGTTAGTCTAAGGGCAAAAAGCGTTTTACTCGGAACATGTCTTAAGTCATGCTGTTTATTCCGAGAGGATTTCTTTTGTTTTCTGTGTACAGTTGATTCTGAGTCACCAACCAACCAACTAATGAAATGGTTTGAGTAGGAAGAGGCCAGAAAAGCTATCGTGCACATGATTCTATCTTGGAAAATGTATTAGAATAAGAACTACGTGAATGAATACATTTATCACTCATTGAATATCCAGATGGTGATGAAACTATAGTATTTTTTATTGTGCACTACTCAGATAAGATAATATAGAAAATATGTAGCGCAGGTAAATCATAAAAGTGTATATTTATCTACAGCTGACTTTTCAATATATGTTTAAATAATTTTAGGGGGCAAACAGTAAACACCGATAGAAAATTTAAATTCATTAATAATTATGTCTCATCTTAAAGTAACTTTCAATTTTATCAATTTTAGACTTCAATGTGATAAATCACAGTCGTCGTTAACCTCGCTGGATTAAATAATCTCGAGAAATGTTCCGCTACTATTATGCATGCATTTGCAAACAATTAAACAATAGGGTAAAACTTCTAAAAGGATAATATGGTTAGTGGATAGAGAGGTTAATTACCGAATCCCTGTTCACCGAGTAAACAATAAATACATTGTTTCCATTTTCTGATGCAATGTATTGCATCAGAAATCCAAGCTACATAGAATAATAACACATTAAAAAGAAGAAAGAATCATAAACTAAAGAAAGTTGGACAGTCATATAAATATACTGTTATAACTAAGTAAGTAATAGATTGTAGTCGAAGTATCATTCAGTTATTTATACTGTATCACTGTTTTCTATATCAAACAAACTTATGTAACATAGGACTTTATGCCGCCTCACTGTCATTGATCTCAGGCACAAAATGTCGGGACAACTGACTAAAATGTAAGTTTGCATAAGACAAGAGAAAATTGATCTAATTCTCAACCAGTGATATTTTGATTGTATAGAACAAAGTTGTATGAATCTATAGGCATCAATTAGAAAAAAAATTTAAGTACAACGAAATTCCTCTGCAAAAAAGAAGAAGAATAACAGAGACTACAAAATCTTTTTACTGAATTTCGGATAATAAATCGTTTTCCATCAAAAATAAATTTTGAAAAGCGAATAATCTACAGTAAAGAAATAAGTGAAACTTAAATGATGAAGAGCATCAGTCAAATGATAATGATAGAAACCTCTTTTAGACAAATGGTATGAAAAACTCCATAAGTATGAACATGCCAAATAGTAGAAGTATATTTGTTTCTTTAAGTTCCGATTGGAACATCGAGGCATCAGGCTAGAGTTTTGAAGTATGGGTAGCAGTGATTGTTTTTAACTTTGCCCGGGTGGGAATGCTAACTTCACACCCGATCTTCTCTCTCTGTCGGCTTTACTGTCTTCTTAGTGAGGTCTAGGAGTACGTTGACCAGAGGTCGAATTCAGGACCATATGCACGGTTATTGAGCGTTCTACTGCTGAACCAAAGACACACTAATACCAGAAGTGGATTGGGTCTCCTCTAAAACAGCATTATTACATAACTGAAATCTATTAGGTATTACTTACTTTATAAGTGTATTGTTGTTAGTCTCCTTGATAAAGTTTGTAAAAGTTGTCAAAATACTTCCCAGGAATCAAGTATGTTAAGTTGGGCATCTATCATACTAAAAACTGCACAAATATGTTTCCTCACATCCAGCTAATAAAATGGAGGCACATTTTACTAATGTAGAAGCATTCCAGACAAGGGATTCAAAGCAAAATAAATAATAAAAATACCTAGCAGATAAAGGAATAACAATCCATTACTTTACAAAGCTTAGTTTGCCGAATAAATCACAGATAGGTAAAGAAACCGTACAAGTTGAACTTGAACTTGATAACTAAATATTAGTTTCAATTATACAATCTTTCTGAAGGGGTGTATGAATGTATGGCCAAATTGTTACGATCAGATGCTAAACACAGTTCAAAAATTACAGCTTCACAGGTACATATGTTTCCAATTATTAACAAAAATCGTATACATGTATTATGAGGTTCTTTTGTTTCCTATCTGTGTCAACTATACTCTTGTCATTGAGCAAATCGTAGTCCGTGGTCAGGAGGTGCTAGGTTCCCGAATAGCTATGGTGGTTTCTCATAGATACACTGTAAACAGTTGTGTCATTCTAACTATAAACTAAAACTTTTCAATTTCTTAGTAAGAATATGAACCGTTGTCATCGTATTCAACTACATATTTCAAGTGTCACGAGTATTTAAGTAACGTTTCATAGTTAGTGTGAAGTGAAGATAATGACTAAACCAACATTTGAAGCTGGCAAATACAAACTAGTACATTTTGCTTAACGAATTCCGCCATATATCATTCAAAAGTAAGGATGTGACATATCGTAGCTGCGTTTCGTATAACGCATTTACCTTAAAGGGCAAGAAACCTGCAGAAAATAGCAGTTTTGCGGGATAACTACTATTTTTTAAAGAGTTTAAAGTATAGATATGATAGAGAAGATTTGTAGCTCAGGTGGATAATTTTGATGTGGTTTTGTTCTCTGAGCTGGATAGTTAGTTTGCGAAGCTTTCATCACCTTACTGGGTGACATCTTCAGCGCATACTTCAAATTGAAGTGAGCTTTTAGGTTTCTCCACGAGTTTATTAATCATTCCTCCTGGTGACCTTGGACGTGATTGGTTGTTTATGTATGTTTTCACACCTTCTAGGTTACTTGTGTTGGAACTGATTGTTTCTGTGACTTGAACTTTGGCCAATCGTGTGTGAAGTTTCTTTCTTATTGGTTGATAAATTTTGTCTATCTCGATGTGTCTATTGATTGATGATTCACTGGAATGCCAAGCTTCTAAAAATTCTCTAGCATTCTTGTTATTTCCTTTGTCTAATATTTGAACGTTGTCCCAGTCGAATTGATGTCCGTGGTTGTCTGTGTGTAGTGAAATGAGGGAGTGTATATCATGTCTTTTGACGGCTAGCTTATGTTCGTGGATACGAAGACGAAGGGGACGTCCACTTTGGCCAATGTAGTGTTTTTCACAGTTGTTACAGTTTATTTTGTAGATGATGTTGGTTTTGTCTTCTTTTGCTGTTGAGTCTTTTGGTTGACATAGAATTGAGTGCAGCGACTTTGTTGGTTTGTGTACGACGTCAATTCCTAAAGGTTTGACGAGTCTTTCAGTGATTTCTGAGATATCCTTTATATATGGTAAGGCGATTTTCTTTGTGTTTTCCTTGGTGGCTTTTGTTTTGGTAGGTTGGCTTGGGGTATATGTCTCTTGATGAAATTCCGGGGATATCCATTCTTTTGGAAGACGTCCATGAGATACTTTTCTTCAATTTTTCTTAAGGTGGGAGTGCTGCAGTGAGTCCTTGCTCTCTTGAATAGTGTTTGTATGCAGTTCCTTTTGTGTGCTATTGGGTTGTTGCTGTTGTAATTCAGTATTTGGTCTGTGTGAGTTGATTTCCTATAAACTTGAGTTTCTAATTCTCCTGTAGTTGTTCGCCTGACTAAGACGTCCAAAAATGGTATTTTGTTTTCGGATTCCTCTTCTCTTGTGAATTTGATGTCGTTGAAGACGTTGTTTATTAAGTTGTGAGTTTTGTCTAATTCGTTTCTTTTGATTATTACAAATGTGTCATCGACGTAGCGTATCCAAATCTTGGGTTTGATCTTTGGTAGAATTATGTTTTCGAGTCTTTGCATCACTGCTTCTGCAATCAAACCTGATATTGGCGATCCCATGGGTGTTCCTTTGACCTGTTCATATATTTGGCCGTTGAATTGGAAGTATGTTGTTAGGCATAGATGTCCAAAAAGCAAAATTAGAGAAAACCCTCAACCAAGAACACCTGTCAACGCTGATCACCGCAATTTCACTGTCAAGTGGAAAACACAGAGAACAAAGACGAAGAGTCCTCAAAACCAAGCTAGCCAAGATTAGAAAACAACAACCAGACAATACGCCCATAGACTGCGTAGTCAACCTATCAAAACAACCACTATCAAAAATGGAACAACAACTACTACAAAAAGGATTAAACTACAACACCGGAGATGCTTCAAAAACTGATTTCTTCGCTGCCCTTGAATCATTACTCAAATCATCAAACTTGAACGAGGAAACACAGGAAGAGATACGCCAAACAATTGTACCAATGGTCAAACAGAAAAGACAACACACACAACTCAACTCTCAAGAACTAAAGGCCCTCAAAAAGCTGAAAAATAGGAAGGACATCGTCATTTTACCAGCCGACAAAGGAAGAACAACAGTAGTCATGGACAGAGAAGAATACACCAAGAAAGCTGAAGAACTACTCAAAGATGAAGATGTATATCAACAACTCCCAACAAATCCCATACAAACATTGGACAACCGCATCCAAAGGACCTTAAACAAGCTCAGCAAAACTGGACAGATCACAAAACAAGACCAATGGCGAATGAAATCCAATGGACCAGTCCTACCTCGATTCTACGGCAGACCCAAAATACACAAGGCAAATATCCCGTTACGACCAATTGTATCACTCCCAGGAACTCCAACATATAATTTGTCCAAGGAATTATACAGAAAACTAAAACACCTAACGGAATCCTGTGATCACTCCATCAACTCTGCTATCCAATTCCTAGAGAAAATCAGA